AAAATGGCTGCATGTTATTTTGAGATTACAAAACAATACTTTGTGTCTTTTTGGTGAGTTTCATGCCATAAGTGTTGTGACAAGTCCAAAAATGGCCGTTTGACCATTGTTTGGATTGTGGTTTTTCGCAGCTCAGTTGTGAAAACCATTAGTATGGCATGGTTTCTGCCATCAAGGGCCATTTGCCCAACTAGATGTTGCCAGTAACTTCACTTTACAAAACAGCTCTTACAAAATCAAAATCCTAAAGATGTCCCGCATCTACCAAGGCTTGTGCATTGTAGAGCGTGCAAACAGATGCAACAAACGCTCTGATTGTCGAAAGCCATTCCCAGATCCCGCATAGCTGTCCACCGCATGTCGGTTCGCATCCACAATCACACTATTTGCCTACACATCCGTGCTTATCTTTGCTACGAGCGCACTCGTGATTGCCAAGAGAGGCTCTGCCATAGCAAGAAGATCCTCAGCCATCCAACACATCACCAAACCATCTTGGCCTTTATGGTTTACCTGAGCCTTGGCCCCTCGCTTTACTTCGCCATGGCTTTGCTCGCCATTGCCGCGTGCTCTTTTCCGCAGTTACGATGTCTACGACTCCCTCCCGGAGCTGCGGTCACCATTTCATCTCCCAGGTAGCTCCGATTCCCCCTTCCTCTCCCCAAACCTCCGGTCGACGCTTGCTCTCCCCACAACCCCCATCGCTGCGACTCGCACACATAGCTCCGATCGCTGCGACTCCCCTTCACACGCTGATCGCCGTGGCGCCCTCCCAGGGGTCGCCCCTAATAGGACTGTGGTCCGGTCTGGTGCTAGACTGGTGCTGGTCTAGTGCCGATCTGGCAGTGCGTCTAATGTACAGGGGGCGGTCAGAGGACCCTCTTTTGTCACGAAGGAGCCCCTTTTGTCGTTTTCCCTCTTTAGCATCTGCTGCGAAGTCGACATCCTTTTGACTGTAGGAATGGCTGGCCTCTCAGCTGGGAGAAGTCGGTTTTCTGGTCGTTGGGCTAGTGGCCCTAAGGATGCAAATCGCCAAAATGCTGAATTACTGAGTAAATGGCTAATTGGGAGTGCCCTCACAGCCCAGTGCATTTTGCAAACGGTGCGCTGAAGTCCATTTGCCTTGCGCTGTTGTTCTGCGACATGTTCCATATCAACAAAAACACGTCGCCTCCAGCGTGGCGAATTCCCCTTGCAGTGCCAACAGGAGTGATTTGCTCTGCCCTATCCAAGTACCGGCAAAATTTCCTTTTCTCTTTTTCAGTTGTTGTGCTCTGAATTCGCTTCTCAGCAGTTTAGGCATACACGCTGATTGGATTGGTTTAACAATTAGCTGCCTACGCGACTGCCATCTCGTAAAACGTGAAAGATCACCGCTTTGTGTTTCTGAAAGTACTGTTAAAGGAGTTCAGCATTAATTCAATTAATATTAGGTTAACTCAGCCAAGACTCTCCCACGGATGCGGCGATCTAAGGAACCGGCATTATGCCGAGGGAAGCATGGCATGCATTGCGAGCGTCAGCCACCGTTCGTGATCTTTTGGCGCAGTAATATTGCATTTTCCAGGTATTGGTATCCGCCCCCCATCAGTATCCACCACTCTCTCTGGGGGGCGAAATCACGTTATTATCCATTACCCGGTGTAAGTATCCACCCCCAAACCTCAACAGAGATGGGCTCAAGAGGGCTCGTTGGATTCGAATCGGGGAGAGGAAGCTAGTTTGCATGCCATTTGCTTCACACTGAGCAGTTCACAGCATTGTTAAGAGTACAACAAGCTTGTTGCACGCTTTCGACACGGGGAAAAAAAACAAGCCAAATAACACGTCTTCAAACGTGTAAAAAGTTTGTTTCAGGTGTGTTCTCAAAAAATCTATTTGATCCCTTTTGTGCTGGTGCAATGATCAACAACTGCTGCAAAGCGCTCACCCTGGGATGCCAAGGCGATGCGTGCAATGGTTGTAGGCATCGCAACTTGCGCGGCTGGTCCTATTGCGAGGAAAGAGACTATCTGCTTGTTGAGAAACTACAGGTCGTGTGTCTGTGGTACAGTGGCATGCCGAGAGTCGTCGACAGACACGCCGACATTGCCTGCACCTATCGAAATCTTTGCCATGGCGTACACCTCACAGCAGCCACACTGGCTACAGTGGCACCCAACAGCAGTCGCAAAGTGCATCGGTCACTTCAACTAAGCGCGGCGCGGCCTGTCAGCCGCATCCATTTCTGTGCACTGCATTTGACACTATTTCAAATTAATTTTGAGGCATCTTCGGCCTAATTTTCAAACTTTTCTCTGTGTACCCCTTGGATCAGAGGTCAGACCGTGTTAATATCCATGACCCACTATTGGCGTCCACAGCTCATTTTTGAGGTCCAGTACACTGATATTAATACAGGGTAAATACGGTGCCTGCTCAAATGGCAAAGAATCCACACCGATGGAAAATAGACAACGATATACGCTAACAGATTTTTCATTTTGGGGGGTACCATGCAGGGATATGTGGGTGTTAGGGTTGGTTGGGAAAAGTTTTATGGATTATTGATGAGAAAGGTGTTTCCTTTTTGTTACCTTTGCTTGTCACCACTGAGCTGGACGTTATATATAGAACGTGATGCAAATGAATATATCCATTTGCATTGATGAGTCCCCTATTTCAAATATTATTTCTTGCGTATGTGGCCGGTTGTGGGGCGAGAGAAAAAAAGTCATGTCATGAGCAGCTTGTGGTATATTACTGGTCTATCATGCATGACAGGGATGCACACTACTGAGGTAAACTTTATATAGGGAATTGTGTTCCTTGCTTTTGGCAGGGACGGCAACCCCCGCATTTAGTCAGAAAATGTATGCATAAAATATCGTTCCTCATATTCTCTTTTGTCAGAGAGGATCTCTTCCTTAAAACGCCTGTGCAGTAGACAAACTTTTCGAAAGAAAAGTTTTGAAATCTTTCAGTCTCCAGATCGAATGGAAAATTCGACAAGAAGTTCAAGCAGTATTAAGGCTGCTCGATGCTGTTTGAATCTCAGTCGCCTTGGAAGCTTTCAGCAAGAGGAAAACGAAATCGAACAGAGCAGAACAAATGACCACACACTCATCTAAATATCCCTCTCAACCCAATCACGGTCATCACGTGTGTCACCCCTCACGATGCTCCCTCCCTGGCTTCGTCGTAGCTCATTTGATCGGTGGACGATACATGCTGGCATGCGCAAGAGCGTGGGTGATTCGACGACCATCTGATCGACAAGTTGGTAGTATCCTTGTATCCCTTTCTTGCAAAGTAATGACTGGATGATGGAATTATCAGCTTGATTGTTTTGATTTCATGTGACTATTATTCTATACCTTGGGGTGCCCATGGATAGATTGCCATCGTTAATAATCGACACCATTTCACTTGTTCGAATAAGGGAGCCGCTGGCTACATCTTCGCCTTGATGTATAGCATTCCTGTCTTAATCAGCAAAATTAAGATCATATCGTGCAGTACGGATTCATCGGCTACTGTTTGTTGATGAATTGATGATTTTAGAAATCAAGGACACCATTTCTCCTGGATGAAACAGGTAGCTGACGGCTGTCTCCTTGCCATTATATGTATTTTTTTTCTTGTGCATTCAACAATTACTGATTGAATGATTCCTTGATGCGCATTACACATCAAGGCGAATGTTATACAGTTCCTGATGGTAATGGCGATGGTCGAATGATGATGCGCAACGCGCGAATATCCACGGTCATCACTGTGAAATTTCACACGTCAAGGTAAGGACGGGGGCGACAGCTTTCTACTTCGCCTGAGCAAACGCTTTCCACCACGCGTTCATGGAAATCTAATGTACGACGCTGTTGTTATTAGAACCGATCGAGTAATATTAATATCTGGTCGCACAAAGAGGCGACGAGGCACCAGGAATTGCATTACGGACATTGACCAACGGACTGGATACAAGGGAACTCCTGTTGTCCCTTTGCCTCGCTGTAAACCGTTGCTGTGCGCTCAAACCCACGTTCCCCATTCAGGGATCGCCACCCCTCGACCCTGCCCGCCTTCGTCAACACGCACGAAATCCAGAATGCGCGGGCTCCGATTCGCCAGAAGCGTTTCGTCGATGATGCCACAACATCATGACGACGATGACGGTGCTAACCCAGCACATCCCGTTCATCATCATTCATTTTGCCAGAACAAGGCAATGAGGCACAACCGTCAGCTTCCTATGTTGCCCGAGCAAAGCAGTGTCCACGGTCAGCGCCTTGATTCAATCAAACGTTTAACACAAATTACGGTACAGCCCTGCGATCTACCCGCCCTTTGGTAGGCTGAACATGTCATTACGATTACATATTCAGAACGTCACAACCGTGACAAAATGTCCACACGATCCAATTCCAACAAACACCTGTTCAACACCATCCCACAAAACATGTATTTTCCATCCATCCAAAACCGGGTATATCACCCGTAATCCGAAGAGTGCCTTTTCCGGTCCCAAATGTTTGATCTCGAGCGATGTCCCAACGATGTCAAAGAACCCAACACAAAAAAACAAGGAGAGGGCGGGCGGGCAGAAAACAAAGTGCAGCTCAACGGCGCGTCTCCTCCTAAGGCCTCGCCGCCGCCGGTGACGTTCCCCGTTCAAGCAAAGACCGGCCCCAAGGACCGTTGCCTCCCTTGGGCCCCAGAACCAGACTGCTCGCGCCCAAACTGGGCTCCCTGCTGACAGGACACAGGCGGGGTAGCAATTTTTTCTCCCGCCCATCTTCGGGCCTCCCGTAAACTAGCTTACTAAGCGTAACCAGCCCCAAAGTCCTTCTCACACAATCCCTCGGGTCGGGTTCCCGCCAACTTCGGGCCCCCCCAAGCACAAAGCCTCACGACGCGATAAGCCGCCAGAAAATGCAGTCCCCGACCTCCGGGCAGGCGTCGGGTCGAGAGAGCGGGGCGCGTGCGAGGGCGCGGCCCCACCAGCCCGGCAGGGGGTGACGATGGCCGTCCTGCGGCCGGAGGCGGCGGCGGTCATTGCGACGTCGACAGCGCCGCCGGCGCACGGGTGGCTGGGCGGCGGCCTGGGGAGGGAAGTGTCCGGGGAGCTGATCTTCCAGGTGGAGGTGGGGGCGGTCGCTTGAAGATTTTTAGGTTTTCGCGTCGTTTTGGAGTTGGCTTCTGGGTTGGATTTTAGCGGGAGGGGGGAGGGGATGGGGGCGGGGATGCCGGGGGCCGTTGGGCGATGGTGTTTGTGGACGATGATTTGATTGTTGTGATCGGGGGGAGGGAAGCGGCGGCGAAGATTTTGAAGTTTCTAAGTTGGATTTTGGCGGGAGGGGGCAGGGGATGAGGGGCGGGATGCCGAAGGCCGTTGGGCGAAGGTGTCCGGGGGTGATGTTTTGGTTGTTCGGGCGCGGGATTGTGGCGGCGGAGGGTGGTGGGTGGGAATTCATGCGGTGATGGTGGGGAGAGGGTGGGCGGAGGGGTTGCAGGAGGCGTCTGTGGGCGCTCAGGCGGGCGGAGTGGCGAGTTTGGGGTTCATTCGCTCGATTCGGCGTGTGGATCTTTGGGGATCTTTGGGGAGCGTGCGCTCGTTCCGTCGACGGCATCCTAGGCAGAATGCTGCATCACGTGGGCCTGCGCGGGCGAATCTGATGACCGTGGCCTGCGATGGTGCAGCTGGATGCGTGGGATAACATCAATGCGCGAGGCGGGCGGAGCCGCGGCGAAGGGGAGGCGGCGCCGAATGCGTTCCTGCAAATCCTGCGGCAGTGGGGCACGCCCAACAACTCTTTCTGCATCCAGGTGGGTTGACGGCGGGCGATTGTTTCCTGTGCTTTCATGGGGCGCATCGCGCACGAGCGATCAGTCTGCACCGGTCGGCGAGCCCCTGGGGGACGCCTACGCGCGAGTTGGGCGCAAGGGCGGAGTTCGGGGACGCAGGAGCAGGCAGGCCGGCAGGCTGAAGACACCGCGTTGATGGGGACCGGGCCTCGGCCTCCGGAGCCATCAATGCCATCGCTGGTCGGTTTTAGGAGCGTGGATGTGCTTGTGTCAGCGCGGCAAACAATTGTGTTGTTTCTGACCAGGTTCTCAACGATATTCAAGAAGTCAAGAATAGTCTCAACTTGCGCTCGTCTAAAATTGGCCCAAGGGCTTTGGGGGATGCCCTTGCAGCTGTGGGATACAAGGTGATGCTGATGCCATTGCTTGATAGACTGCTGGCTGAATGTGCCCCTGTGGGTTTGTCACACAAAATCCTGTACGAATCCCCCATGGTTTGTTTGTCAAACTGTTTCGGCTGCGGCTTACTTGTAATTTTCATTACACCAATTACAGTGTTATCCTTGCTGCAGGGTACTCTTGGCTTGTTCCTTTTAGATTCCTGTGTCATTTGTTGCAGCATGGAATTCAATCTCATTATGTTGGGCATGATATGTGTGCCTGTTGTTTCTCTTGCTTGTCCAAGGCTGCAACAAATTTTTCAGTCTGTTCTTGCTGATGTGCAGGCAGTCAGCCAGAACAAATGATAATTGAAAACAAAATCAGGAAACACAGTCGAGATACATCACCGGCGCTGTCAAAGAACCATTGCCTGACACATTGGATTGTAGCATGGGTTGGTAGCATCAAGTTTTGGAGAATACTGCAGAACAATGGGGTAGGGCCAGAACTCTTGCTCTTGGCAATGCTTAGCAGCGCCTTCGCCAGATCAGGTGCAACCACTGTCCACACAGAAGAAAATGTGCCTTTCATACCCCTGGACGAACACAACGATGCCTGTGGGCTTCTCTTTGCAGAAACTTCACAATATTTTGATGTAATGGCAATATTAGATATTTAATGCTACTGGTGGTAAACTAAACATCAGTAATAAAACAACTGCAATTGCAGTGACAATAGTGCCTAAGATATCTTGTCCCGATGGAGGAGGTTCTGGTATTTTGCCACGCTGCAAAAATTGCAAGGCGGTGTCATGCACAATACCTGGTAGTGCTGTGCCATGCCAATTTCAACAAAAGGGCGTTCTCCAGAAGGGTTTGGACGCCAGATTAGGCGTGCAAGCAATCGCCGCTCCGTGGGTGAAGGGGTTGCTGCCACATCGCCTGTCGCCACGAATTGTGTTGTCCTGTGTTCTGATGTTGCCTGCATGGTTGCTTCCCTTCAAGGTGCACATCAGGACGGCAGTGGGTGGCAGGGACGAGTCCCTGTTCCTGGAGCTGCACCATGAGTTTCTGGTCGTTTTTCTGGAGGGCTCGGGGGACTGGGAGGAAGATGCCGAAGTCATCGTGGAGCCCAACTTCCGCGACCAGTTCAAGATCCTCAACCCAACACTGCGCTACTCACAGGTCTGCTGGAGGCCCCCGCCTTGTGTGGGGTGAATTACCACTGATTGCTGAAGATTGGTTTGGCAAGGTTGAACGCGCATGACAAAGATTTGGAGTTGACCAGCTTATGGGCAATATGACTGTAGCTGTGACCAGTCTTCAATTTAAAAATGGGTCAATTCACTGCCTGTCCATGTGCGTGGCGATGTTGGACAATAGGCTGCAATCATCAGGCAGGTAGTGGGGCTGGGTATTTTCCACAAAAATCGGTAGTCAAGGGACCCAATCTTTTCGAATCTGACCTTGTTTGGTACATTGGAGGCCATTTAGTTAACCAAAGTTATCTTTCTAATAGAGGACAATTAATTCTGGACGGATGAAATACATGGAACTCAACAGTCACAAGGACAGCATGTTGGTCACCCAGTGGCCCGATGCCTGTTCAGGGCTATGTACCGCACTTTGACGTATTTCATCATTTGGAAACCCTAATGCCACTTTCAAGGACCTTAGCCCTTGGCATTAGCTCAGCCAGCGTCAATTTGTTTGTTTCCGCTCGACAACGAGTCTGGAGGAGCCACAGGAGGAGCGGTTGCCAAGGCCTCCCGTTTGGCGTTGTTGAAGATCGTGCTCAAACAATCTTCAGCGGGGCGTGTCTGCCACGCATCCAAACACATTAGCCAAGCAGTTTTCAGCATCCCCCACGTACTTGCAAGGCGTTGTTGGGCACAAGGCAGAACACAGGGTGTCCAGAATCCGACTTCCTTAGGCACAACTGTCCGAACGTGAATCGGGCACAAAAATGTTGAATGTGTTGCTGACTGTGGCATCGCTGGATTCGCAGATCGTGGACACTATACCCGAGGAGTACGCTGGCCCTGTGCACAGGCTGGGCGACCTTGTGCAGCTCCTGTGCAAGGAGATGGCGTCTTCCTTCTCTTCCATGGGCACCACACTGCCCCCGTGGAGGTGCCAGCGGAGCATGATTTCAAGGTCTGTGACAGAACGAATGCCGCTTTGCAAGCCATGGTCGCATATTGCGGATGCACTGAGCATGTTGCTATGGCCATGGTGTGGGTAAAAGTCAAGGAACAGCGTGCTGTCAACAAACACTGTGCATGCAGCTGACTCCGGCTTTGCAATCAGGGTGCCAGAGCAGTGATTTGTTTGGTCGTCTTGTGGACGAATGTAACCAAGTGATGCAAGCCCTGGCCATGGTGCATGTCACCAAAATCGACAACCGGAGCTCTCCCATGGATGGAAATGGATGGAAATGATTGATTTGCTTAAGTATATTGCCATGAAATGGACACACGCATGTCTGTTTGGAGTTTTTGTTGAGTATCAACGAGCTGGTGCGAGTGGAGCATCGACGTCACATGGCATCGTGGCGCCCCAGAGTAGCAGGAAAAGGATTTTGCATATTATTGTGCAAAAGAGATACTGTTCTCAGCGACGCTGTCGTCCATATCATTTAAATTGTCAAAGCTTGGCGCCTGCATCAGATTTGCCCAGATGTACGCTTGTGAGTGCAATCGTCCTGCATGCGACGAAGCACTGCGCTTGCCCTGTTGCGCAGTGTTGGCTTCTTCCTGACGTGCGTTGATGCTTTTTCCGTTGCGAATATATTTTTGCGCCCAATCCTCACCACAGAATTGACTGAGCCTTGTTTGGCAGGCTGGCGTCCAGCTACTGCCCAGTCGTTTGCCGTTTGTTGTTTTCCGTTTGCGGTTTGCAGCCTGAACCCCAAAGCGAAACTAACGAGGGGACAGGGAAGAAAGACACAGGGGGCAATGCATTCTCGAGCAGGTTGGGCGCTGCTTATCGTGCAATTATGTAAAATTCGACACGTAAATTGTCGTGAAGGAATGAGTAAACCGTTCAGGAATTAGAAATGCATGGATTCTGGCCTTTGTTTGTATGAGACAGTGGATTTCGATGCACATATTATGGACACCGTTTGTGGTGGGGCGGAAGAGGAAGCCGACGGCTACCGGCTTGCCTTGTTGTGCGAAACTTCGTGACGGTGAATTGTGCAGGTGGCGGCCAAAGGTGTACAGGGATGAGCGGCTGGACTCAGCAGCCGGCCGCCCATCAGAATGCGGCCCCAGGCCAGAGGCCCATGCGGCTGCTGCCGGAGGCGGAGGCGGCTCAGAGGCTTGCTGGAACGACGCGCTGCGGGAGTGAGGTGTGCGGGACGAAGCCCCACTGCCCATTATGGGTTTGGAGGGTGGCTGCCCGACAAGCAGGGAGGCGGGCTGGAGGTCCCGGGTGGGCACTGGTGCGCCGATGTCATGCTGACGCATGACCTGCGCAAGTCAGTCGGTCCTGGTGAGGCCGTTGATGTGGGGGCGAATGGGCCGGTGTGTGTGTGCACCCACCCACAAACCCGTTGTTGAAGGAGTGGCACATTGCGGTGATTGTTGGCGTTAGCATTGGTTATTGGTTATTCGTATGTGCGAATCTGTGCGACCTTCCAAAGGAAGGAGTGGCCTCGGTTAGCGGGTTTTGCCCATGGGTCCATCCCGTTGGCTGGTTTGTGATTTAGGGCAGTTGTGGGTTTGGATGTGATGCGAAGCAGTTTGGTGGAAGGGAGCGGACGCTGGCAATTCTTGCGAATTTGTGGACATGCCGGATTTGCGACAGGGGCATTTGATGCATTTCGTTGGCTCTGCGGGTTTGGGAGGGCGCCTGACGTCATTAGACTTCATGCGCGAGGGTCTGTGTCGATTGCGCGGACGGGGCCCCTGATTTGCTTGGAGCACGTTTTGGGTCGAAGCGACAAACCGCGGCTCCTGTCCTTTGCGATCGATGGCGGGTGCATTCATCGCGCAGAACAAAAATTGAAAAAAATGAAAATTTGAAAAAATGAAAAAGTGGAAAATTTGAGAAAAGAGCTGGGATAAAACTATCTCAGGTGTGTGTGCGTGCCCGTGCTGAGGTGGCGGCGACTGTGCTGCGCTGAACTCTGTTGGTCAGTCAGGTCGGTCAGCGGTCGATCAGGTCAGCGTTTGGGTTTTGGGGCGGGATGTCCTTAGATGTCAACAGTCGGGCTGGACAATGGCTTTGTGGCACGCCGCGATCTCGTTGGCCAATTGAAAACGATAAATTTTGATCATTTAATTTGTTTGCTCATTTAACGCGACGCGGTGATGCTCCATCTCTGCTGGACCGATTGCCAGCCACTCGCGCACCGCGTATGTGGTGCTTGACATGGCTGACGCATTCACTACTTCATATCCCACCCTGAGGCTGAATTGATATGCCTGCATGCTCCTCAGGGAGGATCCGGGCTCAGCAAAGCTTCGTGGAGCGATACAACGCCTCTTACCACAAACGTTGCCCATCCGCATATCGAACGTTTGTTAAACTCGCTGTTAGTCATTGTGCCACATCAGCACGATGATGGGCTCGTGGCCGACATACGGCACATGACTGGGGCCAACCTACATTTGGCCGGTCAGGAGAACGCGGACAGCCGCTCAGCTTTGCTGAAAAGCGAGAAAGCGCGTTGTTATTAACTGAGTTGTTAGTGATGACAATTACATTATCTTTAGATGGGAAGGGAGGCGTGCTTTGTCCCAAAGGAAGAAGAAAGAACGCCAAAAATGCGTGGCAATGCTGCCATACTGGTAAGTGAGAATCATATCCAATGTAGGGATAATGACAGCCCTGCCTGGCGCACATTATGGTGCCCTTGGAAAAGGCAGAATTCCTGGGGAAGCGCTGGCCGCTTCATCACGAAATTAATGCAATCGGTGATGGATAGATTACTGAAATGTAGGCCATGTTATGACTGCTGGATGGCAACAGAATACCCCAAAAGGGACAGTCATTCTGCTTTGATAATGGCCCCCATTCATGGCAGAATTCCGGGCGGAACAAGCAGCTTCAAGTGGGCCCCAATGGTGGGGTGCTGTTGGGACGCAATGCCCAACCGACAGTGATGATCGGGTGAACTGACCAATGTACGAATGTCGTTCCGCACCTTGGGGTGCGCGTCCAAGGCTGCCGTGCACCAGGATGCGTCACGGCAACCTTGATGACGTATGATAACGTTGGACGGTGAGTCGCGGAGCGCCTCTGAGGCGCGGGCATGGTGAAGATCGGTCGTGAGAAAACGAACGTCGGGCGCCCTTGAAGCACACAAGTATGTGTCGCAGCTGCAACGGTACGCTGCTTCGGTGACCCGCCGTGCCGATCGTGGGCGGTTTGAGCCATCGTCATCAGACACAACATCAGCGACATTCAGGTGCCAGAAATCGTAGCAGGATCTCCCTTGCAAACCGCCCAGCGTCGTTCATGCCGAAACACTAGAAAGTGATGCCTAAACCGAGCTGCGTATCGCTGATCGTGGCACGAGCCAGGCTGGAATGGAGTGCTGCCCTCCACCTAGCTGCTTCAGAACATCTCTATCCACTGCTACACGGCGTTGTCGTCCCTCAATCGGGGTGCTGCGCAATGATCGACGTTAATCCACGACCTGTGCTGTTTGTGAAGTGAGCCATTGCCTGATTACATGTCGGTTAGCTACGGTGAATAATGATCGACGCGTAATCTAGGCCAACAAAGGCTGAGCCAGTCGGCGGAGACATTCTGGCTTCAATGATCACCCTTGTTTGCTCATGAACACTGAATTGAGGTGCCTCGCTTCGGCAGCACCTGTGCGAGGAAGTGCAAGGCTTGGATCCTCACATCAGTGAGGCAGCAGCAGCTGCAGCTCACCAGCCCTGCTGGGTAGCTGCTTTAACATGTGCACAATGCAATTCGTGTGTAGGCACGAGAAGCCCCTCATCTTGATATTTCTGTGCCGGGCACTGCAAGAATTTCTCCTTTGATCGCCCAGCGCCTGACCGCGCATCCGTGCAAAAAGAGCCACCGAGTTGCGATAGAAGGGTGTCCGTTCCCCAGAGCGCCGTTGAGGGTACGTCCAGTGCGCGACCAGCTGCTTTCTACTGCAAGCATCTCGTTACATCATCTCAGAATAATACCACTTGCAAGGCATGTGCAACACATGCCTAGGCTATGCAGACCTGATGCGCACTTGACACTTGTCAGTATCGCACTACACACTACAGGCTCCCCTTGACCGCCCAAGCACCAAACCCCATGCTCCCCAATGCTCGATGGCCCCAGAAAGAGTCTCAACGGCACACAGTCTCAATTCCTTGAAGCAACGAGCCAGTAGGCCAATCCCTACACTCACGCTTCCACATGGGCAAGGCCCAAGAGGGGCACCCACACATTCTTGACACAGGCCGCCTCTAACTTACTAGATGCTTTGGTGAAAAATCACCTCCATCCTCGCCATTGCCACCCTCATAACAATCGCCTCTCCGCCGTTGAAATTCTCCAGAGGCCCACCAGCCAGGTTTCTGGCTCCCAGAAACCCCAAGCGTGTCCAGACACGCTCCCACGCTCCTTCAATTTCTCCCCACCAACCTTGAAGTCCCGTTTGGAATGCCATTCAGTCACGTTCATTCAAAAATTCGGTGTAAGGAATAAAACTAATGCACAGCCCTACACAATTCTACAGCGCTGCAGGTAGTGTCTTTGTGTAAGCGATGTGAACCTGACGCACCACGTATTCTCTTCCCCCACCCCACTCCCACACCGCGCTGTTTACAAACAGCCAGCCACCCAACCAAAAGAACCACGGGCAAAGCGCCCCTATGGGCCAGCATCGTCAGCCGTCTCACCAATGATCAAGCTCTCACATTCCATTGCCCCCCAAAGTGATCAATAGCGTGTTGGACGCCCTCCGAACCGCGGGCGGCTCCCACGGACATGCCAGCCTGTGCCACGTTCATGCCGTCCATTGGGTACAATGGACCGAAACAACGTCCCCCAGCACGGCGGAGCCACCTGCCATGCTGCCTACAATGGAGGATCCTCACAAATGCTAATCCCTGTCGAAAAGATGGCAACCAGGCAAGCCATACATTCCTCATTCCCAGCACTGGGTCCAGCACTGTGGGTTCACCACAGAGCTCCAACCATGCAGTAAAAGACAGACACCAAAACTCTTCTTGAGAGGCCGCTTCAAACCAATGGGGCCCATGACCAAACACGTTGCATCGGAGGGAAGACTTGAGCCCATCGGCAGAGAGCGCGAGCCACAGTCGGCCCACAGAGTCCTCCCACGTCCCCATGCCTCGTCTCCCATGTGCTCCCCACCCAATTCTCCCCATTCCCTCGCGCCCCGCCACTTCAACAACAATGGTGTGACACTCTCTACACAATTGGCAACTCCTACCATCCCAATCTACAAACTGTTCATGTCATCAACCTGCTCCCCAGAGATGGTGGAGCACGGCAGCACCCCACGGGACCACATCCCGTGCACATGTCCAGAGCCTTGCCGTCGCAGAGCAGCTGGAGCGTTGGGTCCAAAGCCCCTACAGGTGTCCTAGAGTAACCCAGGCTGTCCAAGGCATGCAACGACAGGTCAGGACACATACAGGTCAGTTCTAGCCAGGCCTGTCACAGGCTGCAACCCCGGCTTGAGAACCATCTCCCTTTGCCATCACCGAAATTCACATGTGCCCGCTGCTGCCCGGCTGTCTCTGGCCCTGTGCCACAGGCGTCCCCAGTGCAGTCGCCCCCACCCAAGGCCCCACCTGAGGAAATGGGATTTGCCCATAGCTGGGCATCCCCGCCATTCCGCCCATCACCGCCGGCCAGCTCATCTCTGCCGTGGGTGCCAGCTCCATCTGCGCCACCAGGCACCCTGTGGGGGCAGCCACCATCCCGTTCCCAACGCACTCTGGTGCATGGCCCCCGGCCAACCCCCCCGCGAAGAATGGCACTGGGGAGAAGTCCGCCCCTGCCTGCCTGCCGAAACCCCTGGACCCAAACGGGCTGGTGCGTCCAGTCTTCATCCACGTCCCTGGATCTGCTCCTGCACCAGCGACCTGCCCGCCGTTTTCTGAATTTGGCACATCGCTGGATGGGGTCGCCTCATACATAAACCCCTCGTCGATGTCCCCGGCCCTATCCTTGGGCGGATCGTCCCTTGGCGCCATAAACTCTGCTTCGTAGGATGCCACCTGCCGGAACAGCGGGTTCGAGCCTGTCTCTTCATTGTTGAAGCTGCCCACTGACATGTTTCCGGCCTCCATTATTCGCGTGACCATGTCCACCATGTCTGCGGACCGGCCCATTGACCCGAAGGGGATGCTATGGGACCTGGGCGAGGTCCCGGCTGGCGCGGCCGTCTGCAGAGGACTCCCCCACAGCTTCCAGCCATCTGGCAGCGTCAGGCCGGTCCTCATGGCGGCCGACTGGCTCAACTGCACAAACCAGAACCATGTATGTCGACCCACAATATGACCCAATTCTCTCCTCGCACTATCCCCAGCCTCCAGCCAACAGTGTACAGTATCGTAGTGTATAGCACACTATATTGCACAGTGAGTATTTTCCCATACTGTACAAAGATGATATTGGAACCTCTCTAGAGAAAAGTCACACAACACGTGCACGAGGTTGAAAACATGCAATAGTGGAGCTGCATGAGAGGGTGTGAATCTTCGAAGCAGCCAATCTCATGTTTAGGTTCTTGTCTAATGTCCGATACTTAGATTCTTGCGAGGATCTTAAAGAGGGTGGGGTGAGGTGGGGTGGGGTGGGGTGGGGTGTGGGGGCCTCAGTTTATGTTGACTTTATGAGTCATGAACTTGACATAGTGCTACCCTTGACTGGAACCAACAAGCACAAGCACTTCCACAAGCCTAACATGGGGGTAACATTACTTGGTGTGCCAGAGTGGCCACTCTCCGAACGAACTCACATCAACGTCAACAATACTCCATGGACAGGTTACGTAAGCTGCAACGTGTGCTCAAGGATTTTCAGAGACACTTGAGCAAAAGTTCCACACAAAATTTGTGCAAGCTCCATCCTCCACACGCCTAATCTACTAATTGTAGTCACATCCATAGCAAAGACCCAAGCTCATACTATGCATCCATTCTGCAACACAATGGCACGCAACCTTATGCCTGCCCTTGTTGCTTCATTTCTTTGCCCTCTTCACTGGGCATGTGAAGCGACAGGCTCAACGGGGGCACTGGTTTGGGGCTCTTATGTAATAACACAACCCAAAGTAATTCTAAGGCAAGCAACAGTGGCCTTTACCATGTCGGGGCTGCCAATGGGAATCGATTGTGCCCCGCTCATGGGCATCACTCCTGTTGGCAACTCTGAAGAATTCATTCCCAGTTTCTCAGCTGGAATAAGCGACTCGTCATCATCTTCCAAGCCTGCTGCAGCCAACAGATCCTCAGCAGGCATAGCAGAGTCAGGCTCTCATTATTGCCAGGCAGCAACGCTTTGAGCATGACACACTGCCCACTACAACAAACGAACTCACAGTGGAATTGCCATGCAATCCACAACTAGTTATTCACAAGATAGAGGTCGAGGCAGATAAACCATTTATGCCATTTGTATCATGCAGACACGTATACGACAGCAAACATACTTTGTATGAACATTTACACGGTCCGTAAAGCTATGCTCTTGCTCACCATATCCATCTGAACCTATTGTGCTACTATCATTGATGCTGAGATTCTCTTCTTCAAAATTGAAAGCCTCTTGGCTTGCTCCTCCACTGGGCTGGCAGGCACTTCTGCCCCACCTCATCTCCTCTTGGACACCTTACCCAACAGTCAAACACAATCATCAGGATTGTGGCTATGTACAATTCGCATGGATGTTAGTTCTGCACGATTCTCTTGCGCAAAGATATTTATGGTGCCCATGTGAAGCACACCAAGGGGCCTCACAGGCGTGACAGGCATGCTGCCTGCTTCCTGCGCTGATGAGGTGATGTTTTAACCACACATCGAATGCATGGCTCTTGGTTTGGGGGGCTCACATTTGAGTAGCTACCATGAATTTGCCACAGCCAAACAAAGCAACGTGAACATGCACACCGACACTTGGCCATGAACCTGGGCTTCTCATAATGGGATGCAAGTCAATGTAGGCTCACACATGTGGCACAAGATGGCTATGCTTCTTCCAACTTTCCGCATAGGGCTGGACTATTCAAATCCTTGTTTTGAACATGTTTGCCACACGACAAAGCAGAAGCCCTTTCACCAGGTTGACGACATTGGGAACTGGTCTCAGGCACAATGAAATATTTGTTGCCACAGTGCCTATTCCCGTTCACGCCCTGCCAACTACAATAATTGCAAGCCAGCCAGCCCCAATGCCTCCAGTTTATGCTGCGTCTTCGCTACAGCTCTACTCCCTTGTGCTTGATCCTGTAATCTGCTCAAACTGCATCTTCTTAGAAGTCAGTGCTCTGGGCTTCCTGCTGCAGCCACGCTGTTTTCAGCAGCTAGTGTACCTTCAAAACCAAACTGCTGAAGAGACCAAAACTGAAACCGTGGCTCATGTACTACCGCAGCCCTCACTCACCCATCCCATTGCCATCCAAGCCAGCACTGGTCACGTGTGCCTGACGCTGCTGGGTCGGCAGCAAACACCCAGGACTGCGCATCGGGTATTCGGCCCTGGTTGCAATCGCCTCCTGCGTGGCCATGCCCAAGAAGGGCAGGGTGTGCATGCGCAGGGCAGGGATCGGGGACTTCCGGCCTGGGTCAGTGGGAAGGGGGAAGTTACAACGTGCATTCTGGCCCCGGATGGCCCGGGCAGCAGCGTCATATGCACGGGCGGCCTCCACAGCCGTGTCAAACGTGCCAAGCCACCTGAGACATTAGTGCTTGGTCAGGCATTCGGGGATGGTAGCCAATGACCAACACAATGGCCAACAGCAACCAAAAACAAATGACTAACAGTTCTTGACTATTTACTGCAAAGACAATGAATACGGATAATGAATAACAATAACAAGTTCATGGCAATTCTAGAACAAGCTGCATTATAGTTAGACTACTAGAATAAATAAACATGAGCAGCAAGTGACATGGTTGGTAGATGAGGTGTCGATGCAGAGTCTCTGGTGGGTGTACATGCGTTCATCCTATCCTTGTTTCGGATGAAACAACAATGCCATGAACACAACACTCACTATTTGCGTTTATGAAAATCGCCACCTGGACATTTCTGTGTGTAGGCACATGCAGGACATCGCCCTGCAGGATCAAGGTTTGTGCCTTGCCCCTCTTTGACAATGGTCAACCAAAGGACTGGCACCACTGCCACGAGGGTGCAAACCAAGATCAAAGCAGCACAAAGGACAGAAGTCTGCTGCAAATTGATGAAGGTGCATGCCATCGACTGTGCCGTGCATCACAATCAATGTGATGGCCCACCAGGTTTAAATGCAACAGCCGCTCTGGATTCATGCATGTACTGGAGCGACAGGTGTATGGGAGCCCTGTTGTGTGTTCAGCGACGACAGTCACGTGCCTTTTGCCACATGCTTCAGCAACGGGAACTGGGACTGCATGCACAGGCACAAGCAACAGCGTCGTCGCTTGGGAGTTTTGGATCCTTCTGGAGGTTAAGGCTTCAGAAGGGTTGACACACAAACTGCCCTTCATCAGAGGGCAGGCACCTGTGTAAGCTTTGCCAACATTTTACAGAACCTTGCAGCATTCTGGTCGACTTATTGTGGGGCTTGAGGCAATCAAATTGAGGGATTTCTATCAAAGGAATTCGCACAACGGCCCGGCTGTTGTTTCACAACCAGGCTGCACCTCCTTGTGGAGCAACAGCATGCGCCACAGCTGGCGCCAATACGACAGAGATTCAGGCACTCAAAGGGAAAGGACACCAGGCTGCACCTTCTTGCCCCGATGCTAGGGTCCCTAATTTCTGCCGCCCACTTCCCCCACGGCCGCTGTCGGACGCCCCGGTAGTTCTTGCCCTTCTTGGGGACCACGATTCCTCCCATCGCCTGGGCCTGGCTCAGCTCCTAACAGGCACACATGAAAACGTACTCATCAGCATCAGGCACACTTGGGAAAGGAAGCACATTCTGGAATGTGCCCGCATGCAGGCTATGTCAGCTGTTGCCTGCAAACTACAGAGGATCTGTTTTGTGGTTTCACGATGTCGAGGTGAGCAGTATTCATAGCAACGTCGAATGCAGCAATTCAACATAACAATTCTGGTGGCGATCCCAGTGCACCTGTGGTGTTTACCAGCATGAAACAAGGCGAGGGAAGTGGTCAGGACCATTTCGCTCCAGATGCCCTAGCGGTCTCAACAGCACCACTATGCCACCACGCATGACAGTTGCACAGCCAGGCGTCACAACACACTAGCCAGTGCTCAATCAACCTCAATCATGGCTAGCAGTTTTCAGGCACGTTTCCGTATTGAGAGCCCCATAATCGCAACAGATTTCATCCATTAACCCCCCTCCCACCAGACTTCCCACTGTACGGGCCCAACAAGAACAGCAGTCAATCTATCAGGCCATGCAGAGCGCAACTTCATCGCAAGCAACAGCACAACGACTTCCTCCACACAGTGCAGCGGGTACTTTGGAGCCATATCAGAGTGACTGAAGTTCTGTCGTCCACAAAACGAAGCTGGGCAACCAAATCAGTTTGCAATGCACCTCCCCGAATCAAAATCACAAACACCTGGCTGTGGAGACAGGCAAGCTCAACAAAGCCTTTCGCAACGCCTTGTCAGACAACGCACTATTGGCGCAGCAACTTGACCACTCGATAGCCAGTGTCCTGGACCTTGAGCCGTGGATTTAGTTCTGGAATCGGTGGCTGCAGGAGCACAAATCCAATGCGTTGTTCCAATCCTCCCCAACCCATCCGAAAATTTGGGGCAAAAAAACCCTGCGCTCAGCGCATCCTCAACTGGCCTAAAATCAACACCCCTGCTTCTCGTAATCACCGCCACAGGATCTCACCGTGCTCTTCAGAATTTTGCAGCATTGTTTTGGAAATCTTCATTCCATTATATCTGTAATATTAACAAGCGCAATATTGACGATCACTGCATAAGTTCGAAGGCAGCGACGTCGTGCTCCCAGCCCTCCCCGTGACTAAACGCACCGCTTTTCCCCAACAACTGACGGTCTTGCGGGGCTTTGCCCAGTGGCGACGAATGGAAGGCCCCAGCGCAGGACACCAACCACAGGGTTCCCATGTACAGCCGTTAACTACAGGGCCACCTCTGCTGCAGAGTGAGACAGCGGAGGGGGCGAACCAACCCGACCCCGGCGCCGGAGCAAATGCCCGAGGCGACGCAAGGCAGAAGGCAGTCCCACGCCCCAGGGTGCAGACTGGACGCGATGTCGACGCCAACGGCAGCCAGCCCTTCGAGGGCGTCTCCACCGCGGCGAGTGCAACGGGGCTTCCACGCGACGTTCGGCGGAGACGCGCCGAGGGTGGCGCCCGACGCGTGTCGTACCGACTCGCTGCCGTCACGGGATCGATGTGATCGAGGTTCGCGGGGGCAGGCGGGAGATGCAAGGAAAACGGCAGAAGGGGACCCCAGAAGGGCAGCCCAGGTGGTTTGGAGGACAGTGGGCGGTGATTCTGGCGTGCGGCCGCCGCGGGGCGCGCTCTTCCAACCCTTGCTGACGACATCGAGGCGTCGGTAAACTTGTTCCGTCCCCACGAACAGATGTTCCGTCGGCGGCACGCAAACGCGGCCCCGACCCGTCTCTTCCATCTCGCCCACTGCGGGAAGGCGAGAGCGGCGCCGCCGGCGACTGGCCCGCCCGCGCGGCCACGGCCTCCAATTGAGGAAGTTGTCAAAAACTGTTGGCGAAAATGACGAAGGGGTAAGCTGCCTGGCGCGACTGGGCCTGTGGACGTGACTGCTCTGACTCGGGAAACCCTGCCGAGGGCGACACGCTCGGACGTGCCCTTTGGACTGGAGGGCTTCGGACGGCCGCTCGAGGCCGGCGCTTGGACGATGTCAGAGGGGACACGACCGCTGGCAATTGGCGCCCGGGGCGGTCCTTCCGCCAAATGCAGCCGGTTCCAAAATCGAATCAATGCCCTTGGGGTACGCTCGCAATCATGCATCGCGCTCTCGATGCCTCCCTTCGCCCCACACTCCACACCAACACCCACGATCCTCCACCACGCCTCGACCGCTCGCTACCGGGCCCCCTCCCAGCCCACCATCCACAAATCCCACCCGAGGATCCCCAAATGGATCAAACAATCCCGAAATTCGAATCCTCGCCACAACGCCGGCCCAGTCCAGCCCGGCCCAGCCCGGTCAAAATGCGCCGCACCTTGGGCAGACCGCCCGCGCCGCGCCGCCTCTGCCTGTCGCCCGGCCCCCGCCTCGCCGCCAGGCCGGCCCCCGCCTCCAGCGGCTGGCCCCTGACCGCTGCCGTCAGGGCGCTCTGGGCGCCCATCCTGCCCTGGAAGGGCGTGGGCGAGACCTTGCCCGCCGCTGCGGGGCCTCCGCCTCCGGCGGCCGCGAAGGGCTCGATCGCGCCGAACATGCCGGCTGCCGGGCTACGGGGTCGGGGGGATTTGGGCACCGCCCTTGGCTGCCAGCCTGGAAAGGGAAGCACGAAATGTCAGGGGAAGGGGGGGGAGGGAGGAGAGGGGATTGGAGCAGCCCTCTGGAAGCGTTGCTTTTGAGGGATTGCGGCGGGAGCAACGGACGGCGCTCCAGCGCTTTCGGGCGCTCGGTCGCCAGAAATTGGGACGGAAAACGCCTCGCCCTTCGAGAGGCCCCGCGACGTCACGAAACGTGTGAACCAAAGGCGGGCGGCCGCTCGCGGCGCGGGGGCCGGCCGGCAGTTCTCGCGGGCGCGCCGGGTGCTGCCCACCAATCCCCCCCCTCCCCACGGGCCTTCAATTTTCCCTCCCAGTTCCATCTGCGCGCACCACCCGCAACCCCCAACACTCGCGGGCCAATCCCCTTGGCGACCGCGCGGGACGACCTCCCCTCCCCAAACACTCCCGCGTGGACCCCTCCCACAACAGCTGGCCGGCAAGACCAACCCACCCCCACAACCATGCCCCCGCATTCTTTTCCCCTCCGCAACAAATCTCACCCCACGAAAGTGTCGTCGACCGCCCCGCGCCCACCCCAACCCACCGCGCACGATCAATTCAATCCCGCGATCCCATACTCGATGCCCCGTCCTGGAGGGCCCCAAGGCACCCGCCCCGCCCGGAGTGGCTCCGCACCCCTCCCCCCCTACCTGTTCCCGTTCAGGTTGCCCTCCAACTCCCCAGCGGCATTCCCTCTGAACCGGAACGCCAAAGCAACAATTCTTGTCCACGCAACCACCCGACGGCGGATGAATCAACCAGGACGGGAGCGACCACGTGGCTGATGTGTCGCCCAGGCAGACGCCCAGGCCAGTTGCGCGAGCATAAAGTATAAAGGGCGGAGCGGATATGGTTGGCAGCCGCCACGGCGGCGCGAAGTGGCAGCCCGCCAGCCATCAGGCCGCCTGCTCCTGGTTGACGCCGCCCGGTGACGGGCGGGCGACCGCAGCGAACGGCCGGGAGAGGGTTCGGCCTTGGCATCAAATTACGGTCTGCGTAGTCAAAAGGTGATCAATGCCCTGCACCGTGACGGATGAATGTTGCCGCAATGAAGGACCTCCCCCGCTGGCGCCCGGGGAGCGTTGCACAGCGAACCACCGACGAGCAGACCTGTGACGACCAGCTCACCCCGACCATGTTCGGAATATATTTGTCCCTCCTGTCTTCCGTGTGGATCCCTCTTTCTTCCGCTGACAAGGCCAACGCCGGTCAGTGGGTCAGTCGTTCATGGTGTGGGGCGTCCGCAAACAAGATGTGAACCACACGAAGAGACAGAGCGACCAATGTCATGCCGCGTTGCACAGCGGTTCACTGACGACTAGACCCGTGACGACCAGCTGGCCGCGACCTTGTTCGGGTGCTGCCAGCGCTGGACGGGGGTGTTGCGCCACGGCTTGGAAAAATAGACAGGTGCTGATTTTCGAGTGCGTTTGTGGGTTAGTCAGTGGGATGGCGCCATTTCCTCATTCCGGCCCGTGGTCTCCTATTCGCAATCAAAGGCCCGTTGGAAGGGAACGCCATAGGGTGCAAACTTGTGCCCTTTCCCCACGGGTTGCCATCGTTGGCGTTGACAAAGCGCTGGTGAAGAAACCCGAAAGGAATTTCCTCACGGACTGAACTCCCTGGGAGTTGTTGTGGTGGCGGTTTTTGTTCTTGTTGTCGTTGTTGTTCTTATTGTGGTGTTTGTGGCTCTTGTTGTTGGATGCGGCGACGGGGCGGAGTGGGTGGACTGATGAGTGGGGCCACGGCAAGAGGTGGTGTCGGCCGTCTGCCTTGTTCTTTCCCCGCAGGTTCTGTCGAATCCGGCATTTCGGAAGCCCCCACATCTAAATCTACCTGTTAGCACATGTTGAATATTGGTGGCATGTGTATACATTGTTGCAAGTGCACGGCAAGAGACATCTGAAAACTCGGCAATGCGCAAACGAGCTCAACTCTGGTCCACTGGTAGAGGGTGGCAAAAGGCAATGAGTGCGGCGATGCGCACACTATGTGTCGCTCTGAGCATTCACAGCCGAAACGCACGTGCACAAGGTTTCAAACAGCAAACAACTGTTGGTTGTGCCTCGGTGCAATAAACAGGAGTCCACATTGCAGAGGTCGTTTGTGCATCACCAAGCACTGCAACGCATTCACGGCACCCCATCCCCAAGATTCGAACACCCCTGCTCGATCAGCACATGAACGCTTGCAACTCCTCTTAGCCCACAAGCCTTGTGGCCTTGCCCCTCGGAGCAGGAGCAATGTCAATCCCAGCAACTGACTAACTTTTTGTTGAGAAAATAAGTGGTTGGTCTCCGAATTTGCACTAATCACGGAACTGCCATCATAGCTCACCTCCCCACTTGTGCCTATCAACGTCTCTACAGTATTTCAAAAATTCCAAGTTCCTCACTCTCAACCCTTTGCCAATGATATCAACGCCTCTGAGATACTTCAAATTCCAAACGTGCCTAAGTACGTCAGGCGTAATTGAGTCGCAGTCCCACATGTGCAGGTACGACAAATCTTGAAGCCGCCTCAGGAAGGACATGCCCTCATCCGTGATCCTCACACACATGACAAGGCTTAGGCTCACCATGCACGGGAAGTTCTCCAGGCAGCGGAAGCCAGCATCTGTCATCTCCTCGCAGCTGTCGATTTTGAGGTCTGTAAGTCGCGTCAGGCCCCTTAGCAAGCTCATACTCTCATCGGTGGCATTTTCGCCCCGAGCGCACACATGCAGCTTGGCCATACCCGTTAGGGGAGCTATCTGTCCCAGACCTAATGGGATGAAGAGCTCTCTGTGAGCGGGATTGGGAGTGGTGTCCAACACACACAGGGCCGTTAGAGCCTTGAGCGTTGCCACCCTCTCCAGACATTCCTCAGAATTGCATTCCAGAGAAAAGTCAGAAAGCCCGGCCATGCCACGAAGCGCCCTGGCGGTCTTCTTAGAAACTGGGAAGGGCAACAGCAACTTCGTCAGAGCCGTTAAGGCAGCCAGAAACTCCAAGGACCTGTCCGTATCGTGTGCACCCATTGGCTTCAGCGAAGGCAGAAGCAACTCTCTGAGCTCGCGCAGGGCGCCAAAACAAGACAGGCCATGGCTAGTGATGCCCACACATCCAGAGACGTCGAGTGCCGTCAGGCGTGTCAATGCGCCGAGTTTCCGAGCGCCCCTGTTTGTAATTCCAGGGCACCCCGCAACCGATACGCGGAGGAGGTGAGGCAAATCTGCCATGAATCCCACATCGGCGTCTGAAAGCCAATCGCAACCGCTGAATTCCAGGTCTTGCATTCCTGTCAGCGCCGCCAAAATGGCCATGCAACCCTCATCAATGTGGTCGCCTTGATCTCGATTCGCAATGTCTGCTGATGGCTGCAGTTCGCTGTACTTCATCAAGCTCAATTTTGTCAGACGTGTCAAGCTGACCAACGCCCTTACAGTACCAATGGAGAGTGCATGTTTGCTCGTTGGAGAGCATTCCAGATGAAGCTCCGTGAGCTGTGTCAGGCTGGATAAATCATCATACAGGGCTAAATTGGGACAGAACTTTCCACGTTCTGCCCACTCTCCGGCAGAACTCAAATGCAGGCACCTCAGCAGGGGCAATTTACGCAACTGCTTCAATTTCAAATACGCAAAACACCTCCCTGACTTCAGACTCTTCAACGCCGTGAATTTTCGCAGGAGAATTTCGCATCTCTTTATCATACAGGAATCACCCGGATATCCCTCGAGAGGCCGGCAGAGCTGAAGTTCAATGGACTCCGTGGCTGAAACTGCCCACCGCCCCCAATGTCTGCTAACGAGCCGCGAATTTTGGAGGAAAAGTTTGGCTTGGTGCTCAGCCATCCTTCCTTTAATGATATCCAGCAGCTGATGCGACAAATGGCTCCAGTCATGCGATGCAGAGATTCCCTGGAACACATGATCGAAGTTACCAGCCCGGGAAGACATCTGTGCCACATATCTGCAATTGTCCAATTGATCGTGAAATACTTGATGCTTCGGAAAGGCATGCTGAAAGAGGTTTCACATTCCTGGAATGAAAATATAGCCTTACCTTACCGTGCCTTTTGAGGCCTCGAATCGAATGCCAATAGGTTGTGAGCACATGGCATAAGCTAAAGTATATGTCATGCGAAATCTGCTCTAACCTCTGGCCAGGATGAAATTTCCACTCCGGATCTGAAATAAACCTCCGTTTGAACAATTGATGACGAGCGATAAGAGCATCGTAGGATCTAGATAAATGACATTGACTATCTTGTTAATAGATTTCCACCCAGGACGACGTTGGGTGGGCTGCGCTGCGATTCGAATCAGTCGCAGTCATATTCAAACGGGTTTCTGGCCCTTTCTAGTACCTTGGGTCAGTCAAAGTACGTAGATTCCAAGGTGCCGTCAGTTTGGCGCCTTTGGATTTGGCGGGCTTTGGCGGGGCTGAGCGGGGACGGCTATTTAGGCTTCCCCCTCGGTCCCCCTCCTATCTTGTTTCGCACCCAGCCCTCCCTCCCTAGAGTGTGGACTTCGGTTGAGTCGAGGGTGAGAAGGGGCAGGTGTGGTCGGAAAGACGGGATTAGGGGCTGACTCTGGGACGAGTCACGGGAGAAAAGTGACGTGAAGTACGTGCGAAGCGAAAGGGCAAACTGTTAAGTACGGGGCCTTCGGGTATGTGGAGTATTTGGTGATGGACACCTCCGTTGTAATGTTTGTCGTGTGGGGAACATGACCGGGAGGGTTCAGGAGACCGGTCAGGTGGAAACGCAAAACACAGACCTCCAACGTAAGTGCTAGACACCGCACTATCATTTTAAACATTGACGAAAACCAAACACGCAAAATCAAAATTTCTGGGGCGCTATACTCATCTTGAATATCATGGTATAAAATATTCAGATTCCGAATTCGATTCCTCCATACCTCCAGCTGCACTTCTGCACATCGGAATCAAGG